ACAGCATCATACAGCATCGTACTTGGCATCATCAGTGAGTTTTGCCATTTGCCACAACAAGTTACGAGCTCGTCAAAAAGACAAGTGAAATCAATCTCTCGACCAACTTGATGCCGAAAACAGTTGTACGATCATTTATTTTTCTGTCTTGGCCGATCTATCTACCGGCAGAACGTTTGTCAAGGGATTGACTTCGATTGCCTCTTTGACGAGTTCGTAGCTTGATGCGCAGAATGGCAAGACTCATGATGCCGACTATGATGTCGGCGATACGTTTGAGAATGTACTAAGTCCACTGTCTGATGCTGGGAATCATGACAACTACTATGGCAGACGACTTCGAACCAGGTGCGTTCTACTAAGTCTCCCTGACAACAAGACCAAGTTACGACATCGAGGTCAACCCACTTCTATACCCTACACCATCCATGTTCAAGTCTCGCTGGAGCGTTGATGAGATCTAAGAGAGTTAGAAACTGCAGTTAAGCCTGGATGAGATTACCTTTGGGGTAGCTAGGATGTGTGAAGTTGAATGGAAGGATGAGTCCTACTTATATCATTATAAAAAATTAAACTAACAGTCCTTCAGCACTTTAAACAGAATAGGGTGAATACATTTTTATGGAAGGTTGTGAAGAACCTTGTTCTTTCAGGATCGTAGGAGTGTTTCATTTCATTTGAAATGGACGTATCTTCCGAGCCAGTTATTATGATAGTAGGCATAACAATCATTTTATTCCTTCTTTGTTCTCATTTTAGTATCCCTATTATCCTATCTATTTATCAACAATATAAGATGTATTAACCCTATTTCGTTTAAGGTGATGAAGCACTGGTATTAGAATTTTCCCACAATGATATGAGTGGAGTTGACGTTTTCATTTAATTTCACATAGCCTTGCTTTTCCAAAAGTTGTTCTCATCCAGGGTGGACTTCAGTTTCTACCTCGTATAGGTCCTATCAACACCCTAAGAGGGAATTGTACCGTAACAGTGCAGCATGTGAGCTTGGCAGGTTAGCCACTTGGCCACACTGCCACTAGTGCCTTTGGGTCACACCCCTTTTCTCATATCACATTCTTTGGTGGGATTTTCGATGAAGCAAACGTATATTTGCTATAACAATCGACTAGGTTACTTATTTTTCGTATGTAAGTACAGTTTCGGGACTACCAGTAAATCAGTAATATGAGATGTATCCACCTTATTTTGTTTAAGATGATGATGACTCTCGCTGGGGGTGTTGATAAGACCTATGTGAAGTCGAAACTGCAATCAACTCTGAATGAGAACAGCTTTTGGGAAAGAAAGGCTATGTGAGATTCAATGGAAACGTCAGCTCTACTCATACCACTGTGGGAAAATTTTACTATCAGTCCTTCATCGTCTTAAACGAAATAGGGTGAATTCATCTCTTATTAATGATTTACTGATAATCTCGAAACTCTACTTACATACGAAAAATATTTATCAACACCAATGTTTCGTTGCATTATTTCCTTTGAATATTCGTTTCCAAGAGATATCATCCTTAGTTCCTCCAGTTCATCCCCCCAGAAATCAATATCGTTTAAACTTGGGCTTCTTACAATCCTGAGTATTCCAAATTCCGGTTAACAATTATGTAGAGAATGATTATTTGAGATTATTACTGTATAGAATTTCTTTCTAAACATCCTTTCCGGGAAGCACCCCCTGGGAGCGAGCGACCTCCACATCTAAGAACGGTATCTCTTCGTTTTGTATCTCAATTGTAAATTTGAGTTTTCTTATCCATAACGTTAGTTACGAATAAAGATTTTGTGGCCGAGTGGAATGTAAACAAATGAGATGTTGTGATAGGGCGGTTTTTGATAAGAGGGTAAAAAGTAGAGAGTAGGCCAGGACAGAAAGAGGAATGATAGCATAACCGTTTTCGGCAGAACGTTTGTCTAGTGATTGACTTC